CTAAAGAAACCACAAGCCTTTCCTGAATCAAATCAGAGGTTCAGTCAGAAATCAGCTTACAGAAAAACACCCATTCCAGCAATTTTGCTGATAAATTGTCCTAATGATTCATGGCTTAAATGAATAAATACACAGTACGTTATTTTTAGTTTAGGTTTTTCTAGCTTCAACTTTAATCCTTGGGATTTTCCTAGGTCTTTATCTACTTGACAGAGAGACCTTGATTTGTTTTCCATGAGTACTTTACTGCTATAACCAGGTCACCTCTTAATCCACTCTTGCCTAACCTAAGCAGATGAAGCAACTGGAATCTCATTTTAAAATTTTTCCCCAGTCTTGTGATTCTTCTGATGGCTCCACGGTTTATCAACATCTTTTTGAGTTTTAGACACCAGGATTGGTACTACTGTCCACTACTGGTAGTAACAGTGGCAGACACAGAGGCAGCATAACCCCAGCTAGTCCTTGTTCTGTTTACTCATTCATGGATTGTAGAAAGATGAATATGAACTTCAGGAACAGAAACAATTTGAAGAAACTTCTGTGTTCTTCAGCCTTTCTTTTTGTTTCTGAAGACACCTTCCTATAGCCAGAATTTAAGAGCTATCTGTTTCCTTCTGTTTCCACCCCCTTTCCATCGGGAATTCCATCTCCTTTAGCAACTGGTAGGAAGAGAAGTTGATTAGTACACTCCGAGCTAAAATGAACATTCCTTCAAAGTTGTCCCATTGCCAGGTGCAGCTTACAAGTTGTTAAGGTATTATAAGCAACAGCTGTATACAATACATGTACTGCCTGTACTAGATCTATGTGCGTCTAGTAATTTTTGGCTATAAAATACATCCGCTGGCCTGGAGCAAAACCTAAGAGTCTGTGCTACCATGTGAGGTTTTCTCATGATGAAGCTGTAATGCCAGTGACTCCTGAAATCTCTGCTGCATAATGGAGCAAATTCCATGGAAGTGGTGGTAAAAAGGCCTTCTGTAGCCTACAGCTCTATTTAGGGCATGCCCCTGGGAAAGGGGAGCTCGGCTCGCTCCCAGCAACCTCCTGCACGGTGTTCTAGCACTTGTTCGGAGCCTCCTAACCTGTCTTGTTCCTTTATATGGAACTTAATGCTCAAAATGTGGGTGCTTATATTTGTAGTCTTCACTGAAGAAAATTTGAAAATCATGAAGTGTAAATACTGCGCTGTGTAAATACAGGCGCTGTTCTCCTTTACCACAAACTCCTCTCTTGTCCTGTACTGTAGGAAGCAATAGTAATTAATTTCATCTGCAGTTCAGAATTCTTCATGCTTTTATTTTATACTCTTTGGTGTAAGTTGTGCTAGTTCTGTGAACTTGTAGATGGTTTTTTAACTTAAGAGGGCAAATTTCAGGGTGTCTCAAAGCACTGTTGGACTTAATAGATTAGAAATCATTCCCGTTTAAACTTAGTTGACTTAAGATGTTTAGCCAAATGAAAAATCATCTCATATATGAAGGTACATTTAACTAATTTGATTCTTTTTTTCAGAAAACTGAACTGAGAATTTATGACTTCGCTTAAAGGCTACTCGGACTAGAAGGCCCTGGAAAGTGAAGGAATTCTGAATTCTCATAGAAGCTCAGGATCTGGGATGATGTTCCTTCTGTTATAGTAATATTTTCTACTACCTTTGAGCGAAACACTTAAGGACTAATATTACTGATACTTGAATGATTCACTGCTCCTAGGTTACAAATAAAATAAACTTTATTCCATCCTTAAACCCCCCTGAACAATGATTATTTTGGAACATGCTTGTGGATGGCCCTTCAGTAATTTCTGGTCTCGCTGATGTCAGATAATGGGGAAAATGTCATATTTGTAAAAGAATAAATGGAAAATATGAAGAACTCACTTTAACATAGAAATAATTTTACAATCACAATATCACTGCCTGTTTTTCACAGGGCTACATACTGTCAGCTGGAAGCAGTAGTGAAGTATGAATTCAATACACTGTAAGCTGATGGGGGTGAAAAACGCAATATAGCTCTGAGCGGTTCAACTGGTTATTTTTGCTGCTAAACCACGAGGGGGCAAGTTTCCTTGTAAAGGGGTCAGAAATGAAGTTGAATGTTTCACTTGTCCTTTAAGATTGTAAAGGAGTTTAGGGAATTGCTATGTATCTTGCAAGTCAGAGCTGTTAATAATAGGGGAACTGTCAAGTATCAGTTCGGAAGCAGTGCGTGGTACAAGGGATCCTTCTAAAAAGGCTGCACCTTATAATATTTTTAACTTTGATAATTGTATTCTTGATGACAACACCTTGTTTTAAGTGAAATATATAGTTAATGCACAAGGTGCTTTAAATTGAGATAAAAACTAGTTCTGTAAGAATATCTCTAAAATTTTAGAAAGCTCAGTGTATTTAAGTTTTCTGTTGTCAATTTATGTCAAATTAAAATAAGATCTCATCTACCCCTAATCTTATTGTGGACTTTTTCCGCTCATTTTAAGAAAAATATCAGTTCCTGTGTTTCTCTCTTATCCTTCTACTTCCTTGCAAAACACAACTTATAAGCTAATTTTGGTGCTGATTCTTTTTCTTTCACAGAGTATTTATTAACCAATATGCAGATAAACATACAACCTTGTGAAGTTTGCTTAGTCAAAAAGCATGCTTTGCAGTTAATTTTTAAATGCATATGTAAGTTGTTATCTAAATCTCTGGAAAACGGAAGTGCATTTAATACTAGTTTTCTGTCCAATTTAAGACATTCATTCATTATAAAAATTACATCATACCATAATCCATGCTTAAGATTTGAATATTTAAAAATGACACCATATTATTTATGTGCTTTCATTTTCCAGCCAGAGTAAACATTACAAATTATTCTTGAGGAAAGTTATTTTTCTGTCCTTCCTGAAAATCTTTTATAGTTTGGAAAGCATTTTTCATGCAAGCTATACTGTATAAAAATGTAAGACAAACATTAAATTCTGTGATTACCAGAGCAATTTTGATCTTGTTTTTAGTTCAGTGGTTTGTTTTTTTTTTAAGAGTGATTTTCCCTCTTCTCATTTTCTTGTTGTAAAACTGAATTAAAAAAATACAATAACCAGGACATCTTTGAAGACTGCTGCAACAATCTGATGGTTTGAAGTGCCAGAGGTCAGTTTTGGCCCAAGAGACCCTGAAAACTGAGGTCTGAACACAGCTAGTGTTGGAATGGAAGTTCTGCTGTCATCTAAAGGCATTGTGCCTGTTGCTTAAAGTTCCTGGACTGATTGATTTAATATCATAAAATGATAGAAATTATTACAGAGGAAGGATATTTTAGCTTAAACATGATTGGAAAAAAAAAACTATGGCAGCATGTCTGATAACAGGAAGAAGCACTATAGAGTACCTCTCCCAATTCCTAATGAAGTTATATTTGGTGTCTAGCTTTTAGAGACAGTATAGACATTCCCAAAAGTACTTAACTCTTAGCTTCCCAGTGAAATAAATGCAGGCATGTGTTGTTTGTTATTAATGTTTCAATAAATCAATCCCTTAATATTCTGTATTTAATCTTGAGTTTTTTTGTTGTTTAGCAAACGCTGCACACTGATGCTTTAGCTGTATAGAAGAGCATGTTAGCTACGTCATGAAGAAGCAGCCACACTGTTAAGGCTGTAATACAAAGCAATGTTGCTTTCTAGTCATTTACCTATACTTCACATTAACTGGGCTTTAGCTGGTAGGGGTATCGCAAACCCACGATGATACGTGGCCTGCTGAAAATTGAACAGATTTGTAATTAGCTAATATTTCTTAAAGGGAAAGGAAAGGAATCTTTATCATTTGCTAGAGCATGAAGAAATACAGCCTTAACTTAGAGACAGTGGCATAAATGGATCATTGGGCTGAGAATTGGAGTATGTTGTTCCAGCTGGTGCTCTCCTCAAAAGGGCTGCTGGCAGTTAAAACATAGTTTTGAGTAGCACTGGAAACATCTAGGCTGAGCTCTAGTTTACACTTTAAGTGATTTTTTCCAGCTAGTTTCATGCAGTGAGTCAAACTTCATCTTAAAGCACATAATCTAGGTTTGCTTTTGATGAAGTCAGATGGAAGATGCTCCCAGCACTCATGGGTTTTCAGTTCAGGGAACTGGAACAGAGTTAGTCTGAAGTGGGTGGGGGGGCACCTGTTAGGTCCTCAGCAGCAGTTCTCCCTCCCTCCTGCTCTGGTCCTACTGCAACTGCAGGAGATGGAGCCACTGCTGTGCGACTCATTCTAGTAACTGCAGAAAGGCAGACTCCCTAGTAGGGCCTACAGAGCATAGCTTGTAATAAGGATTGCAGGGGGTAGATAGCAAGCCCTGAACTGACGTGCTTACAGATCTGTAATACAGGGAAAGGCATAGAAAATTAAACTTCAGGAGGCATCTTTGGAGAAGGATAGCTGCAACATGCACAGCTACTTTCTATTCCTTAACAGCAAAAGGGGCAACTATTTACTAAGGTTCTGCATGCCTTTCCCTCGTTTTGTGATCGCCACTTTTACACTATTACTGACTGAAAAAGCAACAGTGATAAAGATAATGATACTTAAGGAATACAATATTGTCCACAGATCAAGAGCTGTTGGTAACTGGAAGAGTCTTTAAAGGAAATACTAGTACATGCAGATAATACCACTGAGTTCAGAGCACCACAGGAGCGCTGCAAGCTAAGCCCATAAAATTCAGAAGCTGCAGAGGTCTTTCATTCTTTCCATATAATCTGAATGCTTTAGATAAGTTTGCACTGGGCAGTGTGGGAACAGTTTTGTTTTTAGTTTAAGAGTACTTCCTTATCTATAATCAGAATCATTTCTTAGGGGAAAAAACACTCCCCCCCCCCCCCCCCTCATAAAACATCTAAATTAAGGCAAGGTCAAAAAGACATTTTTAGCTCTCCAGTGTTGGTTTTCCAAGTCAAAAACACAGCAGGAAGCTACAACAGGACTGCAGTGTTTATTTTTGTATAGGACAGAATGCAAAGTATAGTTTTAGAAAAGTTAAGAGATAACAAAATAATACAGTTTACTGAAACAGTAGCCATAGGTGAACCCTAATCATATTGAAACTGGGACCCACTAGCTCAAAACACATGTCAACATTTCAGCATCTTTATCTCCAAGCTCGTGCAACAAGTAGGTGAGCATAACTGCAAGTTACAGGTAGTGACAGTTGTCTGAGCCAGCTATTGCTGTATAAGGAAGTGTGACAGTTACTGTTTCTTTACAGTTTTTTGCACACTTCTGTCCAGGTAACAACAGATAAACTGCCCCCTAGGATAACATGGGAGCTATAGTGTTTATATGTAGGGTAAGCACATGAAGAGAAGCCTAGGCCTTCAAAAATAAAACTGGCAGCCAGCTGCTACCTATCATAGCCCACAGCTGCAGATGATTACTAACAGGAAGCAGCTTTAATCATCTTCAGCTACCACATCTGATTTTTTTTTGTTTTGTTTTTGTTTGTTTGTTTTGTACTTTTCCCTGTAGCATCTTTCAAGTTGAGCAGCATCACCATACTTCCCCTCACACACACTTGCATTAACAAGGAGGCTCTTTGAGACAGTGTACGTTGAAGAATCAAGCTAGGACATTGATTTCTAAAAGCAATCAACATGTAATCCTGATCATAGCAAACATGGAGTTTAGTATAAAAACAAGATATTGAATAGAATGGGGTATAATAAGTCTCAGTGCTAGTTGTGCAAAATTTAACCAAAATCAGTTATAGAAGCAGTGTACATAGCTACTACTGCAGCATGTTGCATTAGGCATTCTAATGGAGCAGCTGGTTTATATATGGTTCTATAGTATTTGCTTTTGTATTGCATCATAAAACTATGGTAGAAAAACCATGATTTCTAGAAGGTTTGAGATTTTTAGAGTAATAAGTTATAAAGATTCTTTCTGCATAATGCTTCAGGACACTATCGTCTCTAGTTCTATGTTAGACTACTTAAGTCAGAGCTTTAAGGAGTTCTGCAGTTCATTGTAATGGGTTAAAAGAGTTACAAATTAAAGCTTGCTTGATCCTTGCAGCTGATCAGGAAAAAAAATTGCAGTAGTCTGACATTTTGAAGATAAATAGCCACTAATGCCTTGAAATGATTCTTAACCATAATGGCAATGTATTACACTGCAAAGTGGGAAATGTTGTAGCCAGCTGTAACACCAAAACTGTTGTGTTCAGTAGGTTAAATTGACATTATTTCCCAGCATGTTTTTATAGAGGACTTTTATGAGAATGTCAGTTTCATGCTAAGGAAGACTAGTTTTTTTCTAAACATTGCTACAAGTGTAGCAATGAATTGCATAAAATACCAGCGACTGTTTCAATCAAGGTATTATTTTTGGTCGGAGTTCAGTACATTCTAAGTACACAAAGGAGAAGTCTGTGTTTTTAATACAAAGTCATGCTAAAGAACTTCTGTTCATATTCAGAGAATGAGTCTTCTAGTGATCATGCTTCAAGTAATATTACATGCAATTCTTTACTCATCTTTTTTCATGTAGCATTAATTTCAGTAAGTTTAGAAGTTTTCAGAAATTGAAGCCCTTAGTGAAGGGAGTAAGAGTCACAAATGTCTTGCAACTTTCCAAAATTCTATTTCAATATCGTGAATCTCAGCTCTAGGTCAACGTGCACAATAACACAAGCATTCTGAACTGTTAGTAATTAGCTCTCTTTTGTCTCTTTTGTGGATTTTTTTCCACTCCCTTCCCGATTCTTGCTTGGCTATCTGGAAGGACAAGCAGGAAGCCTAGCAGAGCGTTTACTCAGAATTCCATTCACTAAACCTTGTGTTCCAGGAAGAAGGGCAATGAAGGGACAACTCATTCCCGGGCAATGAAATGTCAATTCACAAAACAATCTGAAAAGCCACTTGGCAAGAGTTACAAGCAAAATGCTAGGCTTCTGGCATAGAGCTATGGCACCACCATCCAGCATGAGCTATCTTTTAACTAACAAGTACAAACCCGAAAAAAAAAAAATCTTCAATAAGTCAGCTGAGAAAGATACCTATGCAGGAAAAAAGAAAAAAAATTTAGAGATAATTTAACCAGTATTAGCTACAACAGACTTAAGAACTAGCCCCTAGGCAAATTTTCTCATGTTCATTTTTGAGGTATATTTAAATACATTTTTGCCCAATTAGAAAATATAATACTGAAAATAACTGAAGTTCTAGTGAAATCTGAAATCAGGTTGTGAATTTACGACACAATAGTCTGTTAACTTGCAATGCATTAGTCTTTAATATATAGCAGCTTCAATAGCAATAATATTTCACTTATTAGCCAACACTCAGGTGATATTTTTTTTTTGTTTTCCAACATCTGACACAAAGAATGCAAACACACACACACTACACAGTGTTTTCTATTTAAAAAGTAATTGCTAAAATGTGTGCTGCTGAAATCAGTCCTCCTACTGGATGTAGTAAGTGGCTACAATATAACAATTTCAACAAAGTATTTATCTAACAGAATTGCCCCAAGCTTTCTTTCCTTACTCCATTTGTCTAGGAAAGGACGAACCAGCAGAACTATTGGCAATCTTCACAACACTGACAGGATGTGTACTGCTGAGTTAACGTTGAACAACGCTGCCCATCTTAACCCTTCTTGGAAGAAGATAAACAGAAATAAGTTGTTTCAACATTGTGTTAAGGTATTAGTTTCCCATCACGAATGGGAATACCAGTTTGGCACAATGGGTATATATTCAAGTTGGCTACAAAGGATTACTCCCAAATGAGAATACACTGAAACACAGGTAGGTAAGTTGTATATAAAGCAATTCGCATGCATGTATGTCCCTTCCCTATTAACTGTAAAATAGTTCCCCACCTCCTAATTGGTTTCACATCACTTAAAAACAAACAAAAGAACAATCTTTTGCCAAGTAAAGTGTTACTAAGAAATACAACACTCCAGCCTCTCAGTAAGGTGCAGTAAGTGAGATAAATAAAAAGTAGCATAAAGGCACTTGATACCAGCTAAGTTTTGTACAGTAGTTTCACTTTAGAATAAAGGAAACAATAACAAAAGCAGATTGATCACTTAAAACACTCTAAATTTGGCAAGAAAACTTAGCAAGACCAAACTAGTGTTATTGGACAACCTGTAAGTGTGCAAAAAACATGGAGCAGTTTCATTTATCTTGATGCTATAGACTAAATCCAGACACGGTCAGGTGCTGGGCGTTGTTTCTAGCTTCAAAATAAGAGGTATCAGTTTCATCATCCGGCTGAGGTATAAAAGGCATAGTTTGATGCTGCAGATTATCCCAGTCTACATCATGAAAGAGAGGGTGATGTTTCAGTTCTGAAACAGAAGTTTATAGAAGAATTAGGAGTTTCCTTCTGTCCAGACCCCGCAGTCACTTTGTTCACTTGATGAGAAGTTGTCACTTGTTTTGTTCTGTTATACTTTTTGGAAAGCCCAAACCCAATTGCAATTAGGTTGTAATTACCCCCAATCTCACTGAGATCAAACTATTGTCATACAAATTCCAGTTGGAGATCCTATTCTACACAACTCACATTTTGGATCAGAGGTACCTAGGGGCTGTCACAGAAAATAGATGTTTTTCATGATTAGGTACCACAGAAGTTTTAAACAAAGTCTGTTTCTAGTTTTTTGTCAAAATCCTAGGTTGAGTGAGGGTTTATAGAAGTCACTGCAACCCTTCTCCACCCCAGGCCACCTGCCCTTTTTCTAGCCTGAATGTTCTATCAGCTTTGTATAGCCCCTAAAATAATCCCCCTTTCCTACCACCAGACACAGAGGTTTAAAACTACCTATGGTCAAATAGCCACAGACAATCAGAATCCTCTTTCCCAGTTACTGGAGATAGGATAATCAACCAAGCTGCAAGATTCTGACTCTAGAACTTCCCTGCCCTGTCCATTTTGACCAGACTTCCTTGGCTTGTAGCTTCTGATGCATCTACTGCATGATCTTGAAATATCATCCCTTTATGAAAGTTGCTTTGCGGCTTTGATCGAATCCAAGAAAGCAAATTTTCAGCTGAGTGGCATGAAAACGTACATTTTTAATCACTTGCAGCACAGAAACTAGAAGCTAACTGAAAGAATAATAGAAATGGCAAGAATTACATGTAAAGGTACATGGAAGCTTGTCCAAGACAGTCACTACAAATTTTAATTCCAAGACATTAGAACTTGTTTATCATTTTTACATTTCCTGGACAAATAATCTAATGTAACCTTAATTTTAGGCAAAAGACAAGAAAGCAGAGGGCTAGCCTAACTCCTAAGAGTTTAGACTACTATACATGCAGCAGGACACAATGTACACACCCACTATATGCCTAAATTGCAGTTCTGCACTTAAAAAGAGAATTCTCAAGTACTGAAGGCTGCCTTCATCTGAAAGATGAGCAGACCGCATCCTCTTTTACAAAGAGGTATTGATCTACGCCATAGCTGGCAACCAGCTCCTGTCCACATCTTGGTGAAAAAAGCTTGAGACACCAGTGTTCTCCGCCAACTGCTGCTTTTAAATTTCTGTTATCTGGACATAAACAGCTAACAGAAGCATACCACTGGGATGCAACATAAATTTCTCAGCAACTTAAGCTTCATGCTGGAGAAAGAGGGAGAGCAAGAATACACGTGCACACGTGTGTGTGCACGTGTGTTTGGAGGTGAGGGGAAACAAGGACAGACAGTGTGATGGAGACTTAATCAGAATGGAAGAAAACCTAATGGCTGTCCTGAAAACAAGTCATCCAACTTCATTTCAATGGGCTATAGATCGGTTAAGGAGATCAGTTAACAGTTTAGGTCCTGACAAAGAATCAATTTCCTAGAATTTTAGACTGGAAGAAACCATTATGTCATCTCGTTTAAATTGTACGCATCACAGGTTATTAGATTTTACCCTATTACCTAGTAAGGGCAATAGCTTGTGCTTAACTAAAGTACCCTCAAACGAAGACATTAGACGCTTTTGGGGAGATATTAAAAAGCCAAAGAATTCCCTACTAACATGATCCACACTTACACATTCTCTAGTTTGAACTGGCCTAGTTTCCTCTTCTAGCTTTAATCTCTTTATGAGTAATCGCTTGCATAATAATCTCCTTGTCTAATGATCTCTCAGGCAGTTTTTTTTTTTCCTCTTAAAGACTTCTCCCTCTCTTTCCAAACAGTCTCACCCAGTAAATTTCCTTCCATGTTATTAAAGTTTAAGAAATAGTCCCTATTATGACAGCAAGGGAGCCTAAGTTCCTCTATTGTCTAACTCTGTTCTCTACGCATTCAATGTAGAGAGGCAGATTCCTAAAATAGCTCATTTGAAATGTTCTCTGTAGGAGGCTTCCTCTCCCCAACTACAGAGGCCTTGATTATATGCGTAAAACTAGTTAGGCCAAGATCCCCTAAATGTCTGTTACAAGAATTGGCTAATAGAGTGAACTTCGGTATGTCAGACGTCAAACCCTAAACATTCACAGCAAAAAGTGTTAAGGCCAAGCAAAGTTCAATATATGCCCTCTTGAAAAGGAAAGTAAAACCTTGCTACAAGAAGTATAGCAAATATAATGATTTACTAAGTGTTCTAACACTACATATGGAGCCTAAATATGCATTAAAATTTCTTAGTCTAAGTTTTAGAGGACAACGCTCTGGAGTTTTCAAAGTGCAAAGAACACAAGAGAGAAGTTCAATACTAACCCTTCAGTCCAGCCCTCTTAGTACTGTCAATTGTTAAAAGAATATCTATTGCATTTTGGGCATTATCAGACAGCTTTTCTTCACCTTCAGGCCAGGGAATATCTATGGACAAAGATGCAAATGAGTCAATAGCTCAAACAATACAGACTTTGTAATAAAGATGTTTCCCCTGATTACTGAAAGAAATTACCTCTTTTCAAAATATTTTGGAAGACCTGTGTTGGTGTTTCATCGTTAAAAGGTGGAATTCCAGTTAGAAACTCAAACAGACAAACTCCAAGAGCCCACCAGTCTACAGCAGAACCTGAGTAGGAGAAATTCGGGCCATTACAATAAAACAAAGTTGCTTAATAAACTTGGTATTTGTCATGGATAATGGTATTTGCAAACATTTGAAGATTAGCCATGCAGAAATTGAAAAATGTTTAGAAATCCTGCAAAATTTCTTGGAAATGAAAGAAGAAAAAAAATATGTTTGTACTTAATAATCATGCAGAAGATTAAAGATATATTAAGGGCTTCCCCCCTCCCCCCCAGTCTGCTCCTTAATTTATTATGAATAGTCCTAGGGTTTACCGATATAAGCAAGGGAGTTCTTAAGAGCAATCTAATTATCACCTCCTGTCACAAAGAATTCAGGGGCTGTCTTCTCTAAGGGGTTGTTTTGTGACAGTAGACAGTTGTCTAACATCTGCTCTAGAATTCAGATGAATGCTTCATGTTATAATCCAGACACCTTTCTTTCAGTTCTTTGATAAGACTCCAAGAACTCAAAATATTCAAGTTTCCATTTGTCTAGATTTATGTCAAAATATTGAAGACAGATTGCAGGAACAAGCCAGCACGTGAGAAACCGGTATTACTTTCCATTGCACTAAAGTCGATTTGCGCAGTTACAATGCTTGGCCACTGGCTTTCTTTTTGTTAAGTAGCTTTGTTTTTCCAGGTTCCAGTTTTTGCCAAATCGTATTAATCCACTTACAAATAAGCAGGCAAAGCAACTCCAAACACCACTGCATGCATTCTAAGATTTCTGCATCTTTAAGCCATGCCCACTCCACTGTATAAAGAATTAATGATACTTGCTGCAAAACAATTTGTAAACATAATTCAAGTGTAATTTTTCTTTTGTGTGTGTATGTGTGCATATACGTGTGTGTGTGTATAAATATAAAAAAAACCTTTAAGTCACCTCGAGTTAGAAAAGCAAGAGTTCTCAGTCATTTCAGAAAAACAATTTGACTAAACTCAGGAATGCCTAAAAACTGAACCATACAACTGTAACTTAAAAATAATCCAGTGCATTTTTAAGCAGCTTTTAGCAGCAGTAAGAATGCCCCACCAAGCTAAGCACATCAAAGCAGTGAGGTCATATCCACTGTTGTTAGATGTGCTTGGATGCTCAGATAAAATATCCTCAGCTTTAGTCAAGGTTTAAAAAGATCACAACTCTGAACAAAGTAGTAAAATAGGTTTCACAGAAATTTTCCCCCTCAAAGTCCAACTAAAAAATTAGGCTAAATCCTACCATATCTTTGCCAAATTGTATCTATTAGCACAAAGCAAGAATTAGAAATGCAGAGCCTTGAGCATCTGAGTCTTCTTTGCCACATACATGGACCGATTCAGACTGATCGCATAAAAGTGAAAGGGAACAATGACGAAAAAACACCTTATTTCCTGTTACAGAAAGTCACCAAGAATAGCATGAGCTGACTTTTCTCCTGAAGTATAAGCTTAAATATGTGACTTCTGACACAGTGAAATTGAAGTTTCCTGGATTTTTTAGAAGCACCACACCTTATTATGTGGAATGCATATTGGGCATATCTTTCGCGCACGCGCGTGTGTGCGCGCACATGTGTATGCGCACGTGTGTATAAAAATACCGTTAATCAAACATTTTTCTTGGAAATTGTGATCTAATTATACTTTGACTGTTCAGTTTGCTGAACACGCCTTTTCTGTACAGAACATAGCAAACTGACCAGAGGTTAGAGTCCCTGCATATGAAAAGACAATGAAGTATGTACATTACAATTATTGCAGATAACCTAACAAAATTAAACACCAGTAAATATTTTCAGTACAATTCTCTGCTTGAAGGCATAGGAACTCAAACTTTTTCTTAAGCTAGTAGCTCAACAATAAAACAAAGTGTCAATATTAAATATGAATTATAAACAGGAACAAATTATAGTAGTGTCACATGCTAAACGTAATGGGAGATTTGTAATTTACTCAAATGAACCCCCCGACCCTTTGCAGTTATCAATAAAGCCCTGAAAACATTCAATAACTGTGTGAAAAATCATTTTGCAAGCAAGTTTCTCTTTCTCTATATAGTAATTTACAAAGTATTATGGAGTTTTAATGTCTGCCAAATAACCAAGATTCCTTAATGACAAGGAAAAACAGTAACTAAGTATATTTAATAGTTTTAGTCAAGTAACAGTCAAAGTATTAAATCTCTTAATGCAATTTTAGTTAAAGTAGGTTACATGTAGCAGAGCTCTACTGTTTCACAGACTAGTGATCATTCCATTTCTCAATGAGGGTTTCCTTTTGTTAAGACTATTATCTTTAAATACAGAAAATCTAGAAGTATGCCTTTTGTGATAGAAAAAGTGTAATTATAATTACAACAAACTTACTCAGGGATGCCTTTTTTTTTTTTTTTTAAGGCTCTTGCAAATTAGCAGGAAAATATTTCAGCCTTTTTGCTGACCTCAGTGGAGTTCTGGATTTGAACCAAAGTAGTTTACGCACTTTAGTGTTGTGCTATTTTATTTTTTTCAAGAAATATTTGATTGCTACCATCGCCCACTTAAATGAAAGACCCTGTCACAGCACTTTAATAGAAATGTTTCATAAAATTACTGACTTCAAGAATAACTGATTTTAATGCAACTTTGTAAAACTGGGCTGACTGCACATAGCACTTCAACATCAATAAATGTGGAATATATTTTGAGACTAACTGGAAGCATAATCGTTTCACGCTAAACTTGACTAAACTAAAAAGAGTCTTAAGCATACACAGGATGACTAAGCTGTGATTCCTAAGCCATATAGAGGTCTCAGGCTGCCTAAGCACAGCTTCTGATGCATTAAATTAGTAGCGGGCTACGTCAGACAGTTCAAGACTCTCGTTACGGGGTAAAAATAAGATGGAGGGACCTGCTGAGGCAAACAGCCATCAGTACTGGCAAATACTAAGCTGTGTGCATGTGTTTAAATTCACTGTCATCCTAACTGAAGTTTTTAGCGCTCTAAAGATGTTTAGAGGTGTAAGCACCTGCCACCCTCCAAGTATTGATAGAACTTGATTGTTTGCTTTCCTTACCATGAGGCTTTGTCAAAAGCAGCTCAGGTGCCAGGTAGTCTGGAGTCCCTAAGATGCGTTCACCTTCTACTGGGGCAGCTCCTCTTCTTACACTCTTTGGAGTTCTGTATGGTGTGTCAGCATCTCCCTGATGAGGTGTCTTCAAGCATGCAACAAAAGACTTCAGATGTCAAACCAAACAGATTCCCCACTCCCATGCCCAGGTTCAGTAATGGTAACAATAACAGTTGAGACTTCAGTCAGAGTCAAGGACATGTTACAAAATGTACATTCCCAAGCATGTGTGAATTGTGATTGCATCTTCATCTCAACTATCTTGAGGCATAAAAGGTAAACAATACCTACTCTAAATGCACATGTCTTAAAAAAACCCCTCCCCCTTCCAACTTGGAATCTGAAAAAAAAAACTAGAAAGAATGTCAAAATAGACTCAATTTTAGCATCAAGTTCTCAATATTAGCTAATATAAAGCAAGTATACATGTCAAACGATACCTGTGATATAAGGAGAATCCTGAATAACATTTACTGCACTCTAGACACACTCAAGAGATACTGAATGAGTTTTTTGCTGTTTAAGTTAGACTTATGTTACTGTATACAACTACATATGCCTTCGGAAAGTAATAAGGGACGTAATTTGAAGACAACATATGCAAACTTGCAAATACATCAATAAATTTGCACAGCTAATAGGCTGACTGCAGTGAACAATTTCCTGTTATGGCCTACAGATGCTACTAAAGCATCTGGAGGTTACTTTTATTCTTTATTTTTAAATATACCCTTAATTCCAATGTAACTTTGCCTTCGATGCAGCAGATTGATATTTTATCACAATATCATACAGGCTACAGAATCCACTTTACCAGTGGATCTAGCATCACGCTAGATGACTACATACACGTAATATGTAATCATCTAGCAGAATACTATTTTGTGACACCTTTAAGTACTTCTAACTTCACATTTTAACAGGACAATAATTCTTATATGCTTTTTAAGGCCATCAGTTATTTATCTATTTAACAGAAGATGAAGTGCACATTATCCTTACTCCATTTCAGTTGGATACAAGTTTTGTAGTCAATAAAGTTTTATGGCAAATATAAGCAAGCAACTGAGACAAGGACATCAGAAGACAGACCTTCCTCAAAATAATTCTCTGAGCATCCCCTTTTGCTACACAAAATTATTCACTTAGTTACTAACAAGTGTTTTCGGAATTCTCTCCAAGAGCTTTAAATCCTACAGCTCAAACCTAAGTAACTGGACAAAGGTCTTGTAAAACTATACTAAAATAAAACAGGAAGCATGGACTGAAAAGTATACCCATACCTTTCCCACATCTAGCGGTCCAATTTATTTTAAGGTAAGACAGTAGAATTTTATTTATGATTAATAGCATTAACAAAGTCAAAGCAAAATCCTCGTAACTTGCAGGCAGCTGCTACTGCTTTCATCAGTCTTCATGATATGCTTGTAACTGGCACTTGGCAACACACAGCATGCCACCAGTTCTACCCAGAAGGAAAAAACAGAAGGCAGAATAGAAGTTTCTAGCAACTCAATAGCTTTCACAGACTGCACTGGAGGTTCAGGAAGAAAAGTCAAAGAACATGCCATCGCATCAGGAAGCCTAAAATAATTCAGAGGAAGCACCACACTGCTCCAGAAGTAGGACGTGACAAAATAACACAGGGTTTCCTTACCTGTTCACAGTAAAGGCAAAGGACTTCCGTCAGAGGCAGACTAAGACAATGCTCACTGGACCAAAGGTGAACAGTGAACATGCAGCTATTGCTAAGCTTTTACGGAAACAATCATTTTGCCCACACAAGTGAAATAAGCCCAAGCCTGTCAGTGCAAGCCATTTTTGACAGATTAACCTTGACTACTTCGACTTTTCTTGAATTACCAACTGAAAGGACAATTTCATATCACTAATACCTAACGCACACTCAGACTCAATTTCTGCATGTCTCATAACAGACCTGATATACCCTATGTGGTCTTCCTTTCTGTGATGGAGTAATAGCTGTCGGGTAAGACCCACTACAAGCAGGTGAAAGATCCATTATATCCAAGGAAGCCATACTACATGGCTCAGATGCATTGGATACATTAATTGGACTGTTATAACTTCGAAAAACAACGGCATTTTTTTTGAAGAGATTCATTGTTTTCATTATCTTTTCTGAAGAAGATACTGTGTCAAGGTAAGTTTCCGCCACGTGTTTTTGGTCATTATCCTGCACACGACATAACAACTTGCAGTCCTGGACAATATGCTCTTCTCCGTTTTGTGAGGCATCTTGGGAATTCGGTGATGTTACTAGCATGTCTTCAGGTTTTGGTTCTTCAAAGGAGAGGTCTTTAACGCTTTTATCCAAATCTAAAAGCTGCTTTTCTAAATGGCTCTCTGTAACAGACATTTCAGGAAAGGACAAATCAGAGTCTGCACTAAGGATTCCTAGTGGCTTTTCATCATCAGTGCCTAAGAAACTTGAGTTCATATACTCCTTTTTATCGTCCTTGTCACAATCTGCATCCAGGACACACATAAGATTTTTAGCTATTATTGGAGCAACTGATTTTTCTAGTGTTTGCCGTTTACCGGTATAACCCTTAACTTGTTCCTTGCTTTTGCAGGTCTCATGTAGGCATCTATCATCACAAAGCATTAAGGACTGAATTTCTGTTGTCAAACCTGTCCTTTGGTTTGCTTGAAATTCTGAGATTTGACAGCCACGTTTGTATTCTGCGTTGCTTTTTTTAACATAGTTAAGTTCCTGACAAGGACTAGTATCAACTAGTTCAAAGCTTCTTTTTACACCCGGCTTTTCAAGAATTTCTTCCTCTTTGACAGGCTTGATGGGATCATTCAAACATGAAGGTAACTGCCGCTGACTGGAAGCTTCTGCTGTCTCATTAGTCATATCACATTTATTCGCAATAAGTTTTTCTTCCCAAATCTTATTTTCAGAGAGACATTTTCTGACTATGCCTTTCACATCCAGTGCAGTCACAGGAGTACCTGTCACATCAGAACGTTCAGTTCCTAACTTCTGCCTGCTGCCAGAATCATTGCTATTGATGGGAGAAATGGCCAGCTCAAGTTCTTTTTTCTTTAATTCTTTAATATCTTTGCCATTCAGTAATTGTACATTAGAAAGGAGAGCTGACTCGCTGTTATTGGTTTTGCCTGTTGCAGAACATAGTTCATCCTCAGTTTGCTGCAAATAAGCACATTAAAAGTATTTGAGTATCAAGAAAAATATGATTATAGCATTACAGAAACGTGTTCAAAATAAGAAAAATCAAAAATTAAATTAGAGAGCAACTCTGGTAATTTAACTTTTTAGGACACAAAAAATAAACTTGCTAGAATTCAATAGAAAGCCCAGTGTTTTTAAAAGCCTAAGGAGAAAGATTTTATCATTTTGTATTAAGAAATTAAACTAAACCATACTATCTTGTGGCATGTTACACTTCTGAGGTGACAAAAGAAAAAATTGATATTACTGCTAGCTTTGGTAGCACAATACTAAAAGCAAGGCCTTGGAAAATGAACAGATAAAGAATTGTAAATACATTTATATTTAATTCTTTTGTTTTGTGTTTGAGCTAAATAGGAAGAGTGATAAATGTCTAAATAGGAAAGCAGCATTTCCCTTTAGGTATTCTGTATTTGTCTGTTTTTTATATCTGTCAGTTTAAAATAGGAAAAAAGTATTTAAATCAGCTATCACTAATTACTTATGGTAGGTTAATTGCTACAAAAAATCTTCAGTAATACAAATCTTAAAAACAAACTTCTTCAACTTTTCCTAGCTGGTAGGAGATTGAAATGTATATATTTTATACATTTTTTTTTCCAATTGCTGCCTTTTCAAAGGCTTTTCTTGTCTGCATGCTGGGCTAATAAAGCTATAGACACAAGGTCAGCTTCCAGAGAGCCAGTGCTCCCAGTATTGTCCACCTTGTGGAGCACAGGGCTAAACGCAGAAGAAGCCTTCCCTTTCACCCCTTTTCTGCAGGCTAGATGGCATTTGCTCTTATGTTGCACAGGACTACTCGGGGGGTGGGGGGGGGAAGGGCAGGAGATGATAATAATAGTTTGATCCAAAATATGCCTATTCAACAAGGATTACAATCAGCTCTTTTTTTCCTATAGCTGGACTTCTCTACATTTGAAATACCTAGGGGAAGTCAGGAAGATTTGTATACAGCGCATATACAAAGTCATTTTAATTTGTAGTAGAAAATGAAGCAATCCTGACCTCTATATCTTTCTCCCACCTGGGGCTGCTGCAGCATTCTGATTCCATACTGGACACACGTGTGTGTGACTGACTACTGGCACTGGAGGTACCAAACCTTTTTCTTGACTGAAGTAGAGTTGGAGTTAAACTCCTCACTGGCATCCCCGGGGTTAATGCAGAATTATCAAGACCTTGAAAAGAAAAAAAAAAAAAAATCAAATGTTGATCCAAATAAGCAGCATGTATAGCATATATTATCCAGCCTCACACTATGTTAAGTGATCACTCTGAATGAAACTATGGAAGGCTGTGTGCGATACAGTAATTGTTCTCTTATCTTTCCTGCATAATCACTTTACTCATTTTTTGAGGTAGAAACTTGGCAAGGACTTTAAAAAGATATTAGTATTAGCACAACAACTATCTTTTTCATTTTGGGTTGGAAAGGTCAAAGCATGAAAATAAGACAGTTTAAATGAAAGCATACCTGAAGGACTTGGTAGACAGCAAAACACTGATGGAAGCACCGTCTTTTACCAAGTGATCCTAGCTGCTCACATAAGTTAAAACCAGACAAAAAACAAATAAAACAAAAGCTTATAGCCAAAAGTGTTACTTGATAGAAGGCTCAGCATACTCACATGTTTTGAATAACTTTGCTGAAAGAGGGGTATTTTCCTTTTGAACTATAGATGCAGGAGAAACCACTCCATGCAGACCCTCAGAACCTCGATACGAATTGGGCCCTGGCATTTTCACTCCAACAGGAGTATACTATCAAGCAAAAAGAAATATATGTTAAAAATAAGATGCCTGAACAAAGCATTCAGGATTGTAAATGCAACTTTACACATTCTTTATTGAATATGCATGGGAACTGAGCCATACTTATATACTGAACTTTTTTTTTTTTTTTTAAATACAATTCATAGTCACCGATTTGAAAGGTCCAAGGTAGTTCTCTCCGGAACTAAAGATGTAAGAAAAACCTCATCAATCCAATTACTGTACTTAAGATAACGAGAAAACTAAAAGATCAAAGTACGTCAAATAAAGTAATAATCGCTTACAAAACCCAGAGAGCTGATGAGAGACAACAGTTGCCCCGGAGTACGTGAGTAGTCTTGTTTTGGCTTTGCCATTGATGGTGTAGTGAGGATATCTATCATATTTATCTCTACAAACAGATTGGAGAAAAAAGTGCATGTCAGTTTTCCCTTTTACTATTAAATAAGTTTACTTAATATTTAAGTTAGGTCAAGAGAAAGTTTACTGACGTAATGAGCAAATATACAAAAAACAAACAGAAATTGTAGAAGTCCAATTACTTTTCCAGCATTATTATACTATAATTCTTGTTTTTTTTTTAAAATTGGTATAATTTTCAGTTTTTAGGTAGAGATTCTAACCTATGATCTGTGAGCTAAGATGGCAATTCCGGTCCAAAGCCTGCCTTCCTTCCGAAGGATGTCTTGGAATCAAGCTAGACATGAGCTTTTCATAAGTGAAAAATTCAACTTTAGATGCCATATTTTGCTCAGCAGAGAAAGTAGATAGGCTCATAGCTTCTTCCCTGCCACATCAAACTAAACACAATAGTCTGCTCTGTTAGAAGTTATCAATTAAAACAGCATATAATAGAAAATATAGTACTTTTAGCACTCTTCCACATCCTTTTAAAACCATGAAATCAGGAGCTCCATAGACAACTCTAAATTTCTCCATTTCCCTGGTTGACTGCATTTAAAAAAAACATATTCCCGTCAGGCTTGTTAGAAAACTAAGTTTCTGCTGCCCAGCATAAGTTGGACTGACGTGGCTAAGGTGTTAGAAGAGACAATTACTTCAGGACGTAGCTGTTCTCCCCAAGACCTGCAGCATATCCCCTGCACCAGACAGTCATTTGATTAGTCAGCCACATTTTCTGCTACTGAAAAACAATAGGACTTGTTCATACACTAAGGCAGCAAATTCCTTCTGCTAGGCAAGACTCATTAATTCAGCTTTTACTGCCTCATCCTGCTCCTGTCTCTCATGCTAACACTGGCAAAGTCCCAGTTCAGCTTAGAAACAAATATACATACAAGGACTGTTTCTGTCAAAAGACAGAAATAGGTAGTGGTACACCAAGAAAATGCCAAGATTAGCCTTTCATTCTTTGGTTTCTCCTGATGAACTTTGTAGAGAACTTTGATACCTGTGTTACTTAAAACAAATGTCCCTAGCTCATTTTTCATATATCCTTGTCCCAAAGAATAAATACTTTATCCAGTAAAGTAGAGCACATAGTGCAGTTCCTTTACCAGCAAGCACTTTCAGCACTTATCACCAACTAGAATTAATATTACTGCATCATATTGACTTATTTAACTGGAGCCTCTGTCTACTACTAGAACGTAAAATATGTATCATCTTCTACGATCTTGAATAAAAATACATTATAAGAAACACAACCAATAGAATACTGATGCATCTTACCTCTGTTCAGAGTAACTCTGGAAAGCCCAAAATCTGTCAACTTTATGTGACCTTGATTAGAAATGAGCATATTGTCTGGCTTCAGATCCCTGAAGATAAGATATAGTTGAAGTCAGCAAAAAGACAACTTAGCAACATTAAGAAAATTATCTAACCCAAAACATTTAGTCCCGAAGCCTTAACAACATATCTTCTCCTCATTAATAAAGTCTCCTAGCCAACAAAACTCCAACTGGAAGGATATATCAAAGTTAAACATGTCTAGCACTATATATTGTGCAAGTGTCTTGGGCCTCATAATACCACCATGCGCAGGTCACAGAATTTGCATGTTCTGTAATTCGGGAAGTTTAATAGTGCTCTTGATGAATACTACCATCACAATATTTACTAACATGTAGCTTCTGCATATGACAGTAGATGTTATAAACAAGCCCCTACCAAATTTCCAATTCAAATTCTTTGTAAAGGTATACTGAAAGAAGTGAAGTACATCGGTCACTACAGGGGGAGCATCAGAGCAGTCAATGTCCTTTTGCCCTACAACTATATGCCTGCAGTACTTTAGAATGTTCCTGAGATTGACTGTCACCTGCCACAGGGAAAGCAGATGTAGGAGGCAAAATAGTTGTGTTAGTGCAGCACTGCATTAGCAGAAAAAGCTGTGTATATTGGCTTGCTGAGATGGACAGATAATGGAAAAAATAACACCAGAAATAAGATTGCCACAGTGTACATATGCAAAAATAGCTTTCAAAAGCCCTAGCAAATTAGGCAGCTGTTACTACGGAATGGTGATGATTGTGTTCGAGCAGCACTCAGACAAAAAACTGCAAGGCAGCTATGGAGGCACAATGGTTTTCCTATAATGAATGAAAATTTCTTTAATAACCAATAAATATTACTCTCCAATGAATAGGAGAAACAACACTCTGGATGTAGAATGAGCCTATTGTTTTACACAGTGATACTTGGCTAATAGGAGATGGATTAAGACATGAATTTGCTCAGAAATCTGTGACAATACACACAGGTTCTAATACTGCTTGACCAGCAAACTGCCATCCTTCCGTACGTGTTCTATGGAGAACTGGTATGTAGAAGGCATGCCACATGTTTTGATATACTTAGTAGCAAAACAGAGGCTATTTCCAGTGACTAATTATAGCAAAAAAAACATATTTCAGAAAATGCACAATTCACTCTACGACAAATAAAACAAAGAATATTGCTAAAGCCATAATAACCATCACTGCTAAAAAATAAAAGTAAAAAACATTTGTATTTCATAATAAATATGGTCTTTTATTCCCAGAATATTTTAAAAAAACCCAATAACAACAAGCAAATACTTCTTTCCAAGAAAAAAGTAGTTTTTACCTGTGGATTATCCCATGCCTGTGAAGATAGTCAAGAGCTAGCGCTGCTTCAGAAATATACTTTACAGCCATTTCTTCATCAAAATATCCATAAATATGGAGAAGAGACTTGACATCTCCACCAATAAGGTATTCCATCACCTGCCATTCAAGAGTTTTAAATTACAATTTTAAAATACACTTCAAACTTGCAAGTAAATTATGAAGCAGCTTCTGTTTCTAAGAAAGCATCACTTCAAAGAGGGAGAGCTGATTAGAAGCTTCCTTGTGGCAGCTTGCTTGATTTCTAACACAAAGCTTTTTTCATTTTGATAAATTAATTAAACCCTCAGATGACAGGAGACATGAAACATTTTCTCTCATTTACTTTCTTGTATTATTTGTCTAGCCCACTTTCTGTAGTCGGCTTTTCAATTAGCGTCCAACTTCTGAATGGCAAGATTTCCATATAAAAGGAAATGATTTGCGAAGCAATTCTATGAAACAAGGCCTGCATCCAAAACCCACTGACACTGTAATTTGTCTAAAGCAGGTATCAATGATTTTATTTTGCAAATGTTTATACACATTACAGTGTTTAACAAATTCAGACCAGAGCCTTACCAAATAAGCAGTACAAATTTCAAAAAAAAAATACAATGAGAACAACTGTACATTTAAGATACGAAAGAAAGTGATTAAAAAATTATCAAAAAATCAAAAATTAACAATTGTAGGTATATAAATACACACTATTTAAATGCAAATTGTTTTCAGCCTGCTAAGCCAAATGGCACCACATTAAATGGTCCAAAGGTGATTCTCCATGAAACCCCTTGGAGCAAAATTTTCAAAGCCTGAGCTTGTCAAATCAATAACACTATTTTACCATGTCTAAAAAAAAAAAAATTTCAATGGGGTACTAAGTAGTCATGGCTCAGGGGAGGAGGGGAACCCTATCAAACAACAACAACAAAAAAACCACCACAGGGTTTCTACATCCACTTTTCAGTGATAAGTAGGAATTTATGGGGGTTTTGGTTGATAAATCTCACTAGTACATAGATCCTAATATACAAAACTATTTAATATAGGTGAGTCAAGCATGTCCTTTAAAGATTCTTCACCCCCAAATCCTCTTCTGTCCTGAGCAGCAACTAACAGAGATTCCAGGAAAGGAAGCCTTCACTTACACTCGAAACGCATTGTAAGAGCGCTTACCAACCTCAGTCTCAAAATTTATGCAAGATGACCAATATGTACATTCACAGCAAACCAGGCAAATTATGCTAGATCCTTTGTAGATGGTCTTAATCTGTATTCATCAGTACCTTTGTGTGTAGATAGTTTATAAAGCCGCCCAAATCCTACGGAGCTCCATGTATACTAGCCCTCAGTACTGCCAGTTGGTTATCCTCTTGTCACTGAGCCCAATTACATCAATATATTTTGAGTGCTGGCAACAAGCAATAGAGATTTCTTTATTAGAGAACCACAAAACATCTTTCAGTCATTTGGATTTGGCTTGAACAGAAGGGTTTCTCTTTTGTTTTCTCAAAGGTTTCAACATAGTCCTAAATCAGATTAGCTATTAGAAAAGACTCTCCTGTTAAAGAAGGAACAGAGGTGGAAAGATCTCAGAAGGTACAAGGAGAAAAGAAACATTTCACTTGCTCAACCATTCTCAGAAAGGAGAAACAAGACTAAGGAATACCAATTTGCTACCACAAAAACAGATTTTCAGACACGTATAGTTCTGGATTCCGTTTTTAATGTTGTCACAGAACACCACAAGCTATCTATTTACTCACCAAATAGACATTATTAGCTGACTGAAGTGAGTAGTATAAGTGCACGATGAAAGGGCTTTTACTGAGAGCCAGTGCATCCCTCTCTGCCTGGACCTGGTGAACCATGTTTTTATTGATCATATCTGCTTTCTTCATCACCTAAAAAAAGAAAAGAACAAGTAGACATATGTTAATGGTCATTCCTATTTTCAATACTCATTTTCTTCAAAAAAAAAAAAAGTTTTGAAAACGTAGCTGCTGCAACTATACTGGTGAATTAGTTTCCTAGACTAACCTACAGTTCTCCAGTCAATTCATTTATCGCCATACTTCAAGCTTATACAGCTGTTACGTAACAGAGCTAGAACTTTGTATAAAGAAAGAATTGTGAAATTTATTTTTTGCCTAGGTTATTGAAGAACCTGTTTCCACTGGTCCTTCTAATTCAGTCCTGAATGGAAATCACACTGTCAACATTTCTTATGATCATACAGACTGAATCTGAAGCTAAACCGCTGAGTGAAGCTTCTTATTCACAGTATACAAAGATGCCTGCCTCAGAGCCAGGAAAGAGTTTTCAGTGCTTAAAGATACAGTTGTGACTAAGTCTTTCCATCTCTTCAAAGGACTTCATAGGCTTGACAACTGAACATACGGCATTAAACCATCTTCTCAAGGGCAAGACTTCATAAAAAGTGTTCCTCATAAATTAAATGAGGTCATTAAATTCTTTTAGCCTCTTATTCCTAATTTTGCAGAGAAAGCAAACAAATTTTTGCTTAATTTAAAATTTACTATCAAATAATTTAACACACTTTTGTTTCCTTTGGGAAGGAGCCTCAACAAATTATTTCTTCATGAGTTACATACAATTGTTAACTGTGAATTAGGCTCCAGTTCCTGTACTGAATTGCTTCATTGTTTATTGATGCCTACTCAGTATTCTTAGAGCAGAATGTGCAAATAATAGCACAGTTGATATGTATTTAAGCAGACATTGCATATTCATCAGAAGTGTATCCATGTCTAACATCTTTAGTCCCGATATTAAAGTAATATTATCTATCTGCTCTATAGGCAACATAAACTGTAGCAAATCAAGTCCTTGGCTAGCACCACTACTATCAAAGCTGGTAACAAAACCAAAAAAAAAACAACCAAGACTTAGACAGAAGGTATTGAATTACACTTATATGAACATTGGCCTCAACTGCACAAACATTTAGTACACATCAAATTTTGTAGCTGTGAACAATCCATAAATTTCACTGCAGTGTTACTGACACAAAGGCTTTCAGGTCATAATACTTGCAATAAAGTTATGGTAAAAAGAAGTAGGTAGCTCTAAACACTAATATCTTGAGCCATCTGTTTTGCACGACTGTTTTCATATTTCCTTTTCTTTGTGCACTACACAGCTGGTTATAACTCTCTCATTTGCCAAGTCAAGTTTGCACAAAACATTGGTAAAGTTTTCATTGCTAAGGTATCTGAGCACACTGACCGATACAGCTTTGAATATGCTGTTACTGGGCTTAAACTCCTTTGTGTATATACAGGGAAAACTCTGCATTTTTTTAACATATACTTAAGAAAAAAATTTTTTTTAATATATATTTTTGCTTTCATGATTTGCTTTCATTGTACATCTCAGGGGCACACTTTTCATTCACGAGCAAATGCAAGAATATTCATTCCAGCAGTGCTACAGCTGAAAATACTCAATTATGACAAGAATTTACAGATAAGAAGCAAATAGCTTACTGATGCTTTAGAAATCTTTTTGGTGTGCTTTCCTCGACATTTAAGGTGCTTCAGGAAACACTCGTTGCTATCAGACGCCTCCTTAACCAAACCTCCAGGCGAACAGGAACGCGATGAGAAAGC